AGGTTTCTCATTGATCCAAATAGAGGGTGATGAAAACAGTACCAATCATAGATGTGTCTGGAGAATAAAATAGGTGAATTGATGTAAAATCCTGAGAATGGAGCTTAGCACATATAAAAGCTTAGCAATATTTTCATGTCACTTGGCAGTGATCATAGACAATCTTCTCTTTTATTTGTACAAGTGTACTTCCTTCTTTGGGTAGCTGAATAATATTCTTGAATTCTGAACAGTGTGGGTAAGTCATAATTTCTTTAATAATTCTTTTACTATTGGGCATTAAAATTGTTTCTGGTCTCACAAATACAAGTCACATATCAGTGAATAATTCCTTGAATGTGTATTCTTATACACTTGGAATTATGTTTGTAAAATAGCTTCATCAAAAGTGGAAATATTTGTGTGAGAATATGCACATTTAAATTTTTGGCAGGTTCTAGTTATTACTCTTTGAAAGACTGTATAGTTCTAACTGGAATCCCAGCATCATGAAATGAAAGTTCCTTTCCCTAGTCTCCATAACAATACAAAATATATTTAAAAAACTGTAATCTTTTCACTTTGATATATTTCCTTGTTTTATTTTGGATTTCAATTAATTCCTGGAAAAACTAAGCCTTTTCTCTTGTTACTTATTCATGCGTCTGCTTTTGTGATTTTCCAAATTGTACATTTCCTCTGGGTTCCTTTACTGACGTATTTTCAATTTATACATTACAAATAGGCTCTTTAACTCTTTTACTTGTCTTTTAGCCTTGCCAGTGTATCTCTCTACCCAAGGAGGTGAGAGTACTGTGTGTCCCAATGTGCCAATCTTCTCCAAGCACCTGAATTCAGAGATCTGTGTATGTAAGAGGTGTGAGAGGGAGTCACCACTCTTTTATGTTCTGATGCACAGCCTACTTTCTCTTCAGAATTGCAAGTTCCTTTACTAGCCCTGAACCCTCCATCTGTCTGGAGAAGGCAGCTTCTTTTTTGTGTTATTCCTGTTTTTCTTTCTCCAACCTAGTCCTTGTTATGAAAATCAGAGACAATATCTAGTCTACAATCTCATTCTCTTACCATCGTTCACAAGGCCACTCCCCGTCCTCTTTTCTCTTGATTCTACTTCTTCTTACTTGAACTTTGTATGTCTTGGGAGGCTGAAAGGGACAGGGTCAGCCTTCAGGAGCTCACTCCACCAGCTGGCTTGTGGTTACTTCTCTGTCAGCCCCTACTGCTGATGTTGCCCTGACATTACTGATGTTGGCTCCAGCCCTGAGAAGCTGCTATGTGTGTTACTATGGTCAGCTGAGTGGGGAGGCAGAAAGTACATGTCCATATTTTCATGGCAGTGCAATGAATGGTGAGTGTTTTCTGCTGCCATGGAAGTATATGAAGAGGACCTGTTTTTTAAGCAGCCTCTGTTTCTGCCAAGCTCTGGAATGGAGGACCTTCTCAGGAGCAGTCACTTCTCCTGTGACCCTCTTTATGCTCCTAATGAGAAGCATATCTTTTAGCTTCTCGACCTATTGACTCCATGCTGTCAATAAGCTGGTCCTCTTCTGTGGTCCAGTAGCCACAAATAACTTGGACAGGATGCTTGTGCTCTCTCAGGCACTCTAAAACTGAGTCCCATCTCATCCTACTGGTGTGGAAACATCTTGTTTCCAAAATAAGACCTGTGTGCTACATGCTGTCTGTGGGAGAGGTGGATGGGAGAATATAAAACCTTTCACCGACTGTATATTACTCAAGAAGACGACTCTCCTTTCCCCCACTTACATATGGGGCTTCAAGGAAGATCAGGTCCCATACATATTCTGGAGAGAACCTCTGTAGGTAGATGCAAACTCTACATTTCAGAGATGCACTTTGTCTCCTTTTGTCTATCAGCTCCTCAATGCCTACCCAGGGCCCCTATGATTCTGTGACTCTGTGATGATGAGAATAATGATAAAGATAGTTTCACTTTATTGAGCATTTATGGAATTCTGCATTCAGTTATGGTGGAGAAGGGACCCAAGAAATTAACTTCCACTATAAAAAACTATAAACTCCGAACAAAGCAGTAAAAACACAGAATATACCCAGAATATGTAGAAAGCCAACAAAGGAAGATGGATTTCAGGTGGGAACTAAAACTTGAAAATGAAGATCTAGAGATGGAGTTCCTATGTTGTTGCAATTTTGTCCTGAGAGTGGGTCATAGTCATGAGACACAGGCTGGCTGAAAGACTAAGCAAAGACTGGACATCTTTCTGGCCTGAAAAATCAAAGACAGAAATAAAGGTGGCCACGGCTCTAAAAAGTAAGGAGGGAAGCCCAGAGATAATGATGGAGTAGGGTAACCCCAGGTTCTATGCGTCAACTCTGCCCAAGTTTCTAGCTGATCCCTGAAGCATGCAGATGTGAGGCAGACTGAAAAGAGTCTGATAAGGGAATGTAGTAGTCAGCTTTCCCCTGTCTGGTATTGTACCCAACACCTACAGTTTAAAGGGGGAGAGGTTTAATTTGGCTCATATTTTAAGGGGATTCAGCCATGATAGGCTGGTTCCAAGGCAGAAAGATTACAGTGAGGGACCAGATATAGACCCTAAGGCCACACTTCCAGACACACACACAGACACACCCAGAAATGTGCTCCACCAATCCCCTAGGTGGATCTTAAAGCCAATCAAGTTGACACTTAACCCTAACAGCCACATACCACCTCTTGTCAATTTCATACCCAAACACATCTTCTTAAACAATACTTAATCCCCAAATAAATACCAAGTTCATAATTCTCCCTAATATAATACAGCTATCTTGCTTACAACCAGAAAGGTAACAATCCCTTCTCCCAAAGTCTCAAAAGTTCCAGCATTTCTAATAAGTCCAAGTTCAGTTTTTTGAGATTCAAGGCAACCTCTTAGGTGTGTACCTTTGTCAAAATAAAAAGTTACATCTCAAGGTGCAATTGCATAGGGTAAAAATTCCTATTCCAAAAGGGAGGATTGGAGGATAGAAAAAAAAAAAAAGTCTGCCCAAAGCAAGACCAAAACTGAGCAGGGAAAATATCAAGTCCTATAGCTTCACATCCAGCATTTGGGAGACATAGGGGTGAGATATAAATTCCAACGAGGTTAGGATGCCCCACCCCAACCAGCCTTGCTGGTTGCAGCTCACACTGCCTCTCACTTTGGGCTGGCTCCACTCATGGTTCATAGCTTTCCTCAGCAGATGTTCCACATTCCTGGTATCTCTAACTTACTGGGATCTCTACTGCACCTTGGGCTTCATTTCCCCAGCTTCACGCACACACTGCCCTCTCAAGGACTCCTTGTCTGGCCTCTAATGCTTTTCTTTGAAATCTGGATGGAAGCCTCCCTGACCCCATGTCTCTTGCCATTTTGCATTCCAGTAAATGAGTATCATGTGGACAATGCCTAGGTCCACTGCCAGCTCAAGCAGTAGCTGGGCCACATTAGACCATGGTTGCAGTGGCCTCTGAATGTCTGGATGAATGAGTATAGTGAAATGAATCCCAGGGAACCAGTTCTTTAGGGAGCCTTTTTTAAGCAAGGGTCCCCAGGACTCTCTTTTCCAATTAAAGATTCGTATTTTTGTACCCCTGAACTTATCATGGATGAGAGCTTGATGATTTCTGAGATGCTCTCTAAGCATCTTTCTTCTTGTCCCTGTACAAAGTGCTATGACACTAATCTCTTCAGCAACTCTACTCCTTTTGGGCACAACTTTATACCCTAGTTTCTTCTAGACCAAAATTTACATCTTTCAAGTTTTTCTGCTCTGCTATTTGCCCCCTATTCTCACTATAAATTTGGCCAAAAGCATCTAACATTAGCCATGCCACAACCTGAACATTGGGCTGCTTTGAAAGCACATCTACCAGATCAATGAGTTCACTGATTTCATTCTCATGCAAAGTCTCAGGACACGGACAAAACATAGACAAAATAATCTGCCAAAGTGTAACACACATACCCTCTAGTTCAATGGCCAGTGGAGTTCTTATTCCCAATTGAAACCTCCTGAGCTTGCCCTTTCCTGTCCACATTCCTATCCACATTCTGGTCTTCTGAGCTGCAACCTGAATCACCCATCAGGCTCTACTTATAACATCCTAGGGTTTCTGTAGCCTGCATATCCAAACCTTTATAAACTACTCCCATAAACCAGTTCCAAAGGCCTCTAAACTACATGAACTGATACAGCTATAGCAATGACCCCACTTCTCTGGTGGCAACTTTTTGTATTATTTAGATATTCTATTGCTGAACATAATATCCAACATCTACAAATTAAAAGAGGAGCAGTTTAATTTGGCTCACATTTTAAGGAGATTTAGTCCATAGTTGACTGGCTCCAAGGTAGAAACATCATGGCAGAAGGGCATGGTGGAGCAAAGCTGCTTAGTTCATGGGAGCCTGGAAGTAGAGCAGGGTAACAACATAGAGGAAGGAGAAAGGAACCAGACATAGGTCTGGAGGCCATGCCTCCATGACTCAGCTAGACACACCCAAAAACATGCTGCACCAATCGTCCACTGGATCTCAAAGCCAATCAAGTTGACATTCTAATCACTGTCGGAAAAAAGACTTGCATTGAAATTTAAACTGCCATACACCACAAGTAAGAAAGGGTATGCAACTTGAGTGTAACCAAACGTGTTGCCTGCTTTTTTTAGAAAAAAAAACTTTAATACTCTTCAGAGGAATATAACAGAATCTAGAATTGTCACATCTTACCAACATAATAGCTAGAACACAACCCAAAACTTCTCCATAAAATATGAATAACAAGTGCTTCTTTTGAGTGATACATTTAGTACAATGTTTGTAAATGGCCTGGCTTGCAGTTAATGGATGAGTCCTAATCTATGTCTCCTTGGTTCTGGAAATACCCACCAAGAGGGCTGCCAAATGTAATAAACACTCTTAGGTCAGAAAAAAAAGCACACCTGTCATTATGAGATCATTTAGTTTCCAGAACCTTGGGAATAGAGAAGAGGCATACATGTAAAGGGAGATCAGCACCCAAGTTATTTCTCAAAGATGCCAATGAGTTTATCAGAAAAAAGATAAAAGGGTTTTTAAGAAAGTGCACAAAAGTAAGCCAAAAGGGGAAAATAACAGAAGACAGAAGGCCAGTGCCAAAAAGTACCAGGAAGGTTAAAAACCACATACAGATATATACTTGACAGTGCTAGAATAAAGACAAGCTCAGGACTACATATGAGGAATTTGGCTAGAGCGCAGGACTTGAGAGTTTTGGAAGATATGTTTGTATCGGGCCCATAGGTTGGAGTGAAATTTCTCATGATGGTGGGGCATATGTTCCCTGTTCATGAAAGACCTCCTAGCTTTGTAACATCAAGTCTTTATCCCACAAGAAAAAAGTAGTTCTCAGGTTTTTCACAGGTTCCCATTATCCTCACTGGATAATATTGAAAGAGCCAATGGCTGAGCAATAAAGTGGGCATGTTCACCTGTTCTAAGTAAAGTCACCTTCCCAACGCAGGACCAAGGCTTGCAAGCAAAGGCAAAGTTCAGTCTCCACTAATATTATCTACCTACATTGAACAACAAAGGTAAAATTTGGTCTGGGTAAATGAATCTTCTCATTTGATTATTCATCCTGATCATCGTTACATTAAATTTTTTGCTTCCATGTTAAAAAAAAAAATCAAAGAGATATAAGAATGCCAAATCTTAGCAAAGATATTTTTTCTCTATTGACTAAAATATCAGACCTTTAGAAGTATCTCTGAAATCAAATCTCTCTCTTGGGACTAATGAAATTCTTAGCTGCTTAATGGTAGGTCTGTGACAAACAGAAGACATGTATTACCCTAATGATGTTTACCCAAAAGAATTTTGCTTCTTTCTTATCTTTTGGCTTTCTCCCACCAAACACCTATTTGCCATTATTAACATAGTTACAATTATTTTTATTACACTATGCCAAATACTGTCCTGATAACATTACAAATGTTACTTCATTTAGCCTTTCTAACAATAGTACAAGGTAGGAACTATTGTTGCCACCCCCGTTCTACAGATGGAGAAACTGAAGCATAAAAGAATCTAGCTGCAAGAACCAGACTCAGGGTCCAAGTGCAGAAACAAGGTTTCAGATTAGTGATCTTAAACACTATTCTCTGCTGTTTCCATGTGTTACTCTCGTGGTAGATATGCAGTAAATGAGGGAAATTATAACAATAATGGCAGTTATATCTTCACTACTTATTGAAGGCGATTTTATAATGTATCGTCTATTCATTCAACTAGCAGATTATGCAAATTTGCTAGGAGCTTGTGTGATGCAAATGTGCTTACAAAATTAAAATGAAATCATTTATCTCTGCACATACTTCTACAATACCTCGCCTCTGTAGCAGCAGCACCTGGTGCCATGTGGGTATTGTGCAAGTGAATGCTTATTAATTTGTGGCTCACACTGGTCACAGAACATAAGGACATAAATATTAACATTAATGCTATAATTGTCACAGATGAGAATTTCATGTTAAAGCGTGGATGTTCCATATTGGAACATCAGTGTATAGAATGAACCTGACCTTTCTGAAGTCTCTCGAATTCTTCAGCAGAGTAGATAATAATGCTAGGGCATGTCAGTTTTGTTCTGCCCTGTAGACGAAGTTTATTCTGTCTGAAGATCCAGTATTTTCTGCAAAATTTGTCAAGATATTTCTTTTTCTCAGTCTCATTATGAAATTTGTTCAATTCAGACATGTGACAGGAGATTGAAAGCCACAATTTGCCCCTGCTTGCCACTGAAGCTTGATACCGTCAGTCTTTAGGATCTTTAATCTCTGTTAGAGAAAGCTTGATGAACCTGGCCAAAATAATCACTAATGCACAAGGTACCAGGCTGCAGCATTCCAGCTCCTTTCCTTTCATGTTAAATTCTCTACCTTAACTAAGTGGCCCTTTGCAAAGCCAGGCGAGTGCCTAAGGCGTCTTTGATCAGGTTTTGCTTCCTGACAGCTGTACATATAAACGAATGATTATTCCAATTAAGGAATGAACATCAATTCTTCATATCTTCCAACTGCAAAGTGTTTGCTCATCAATGTACTTCTATTCTTTTGGTGCTGTGGATCATATCCTATTTGGACAAACTCTGTCAGAAGGCTGCAGGGTTTGCAGTTTGGAACACTCAGGAAAAGAGAAGAAGACTTGGAGAAGTCGTAGAAATAGATTTTCTAGAATCTACCAGGAGGTCTAATGCGAGTAAGAAAACCACAAGTTTTGGAACACCTGCAACTGTTACCATGCAAGGCACTTCATGTAATGATTTCATTTTATCTGCACTTAATCTTATGTGAATAAAATATTATTAGCTCCAAAGTATGAGGGAGAAAGTGAAGTTGGAGGGCCAAATGACCTGCTCGTTGTTATGTGATGTTTCAGTGGTTGAGTCATAGTTCAAACACTCAAATTCCAAACTCTTACATCTCCAGTACCTTTGATAACCATTATTTAATATACTAAGAAGAATTTTACCAGATTTGACCTCTAGATTTGACCTTCCTGCTACCTCTATGCTCTTGAATAAGTTCAATATTTTCCCACAGTTTTTTTTTTTTTTTCATGGTGCTAGGGATTGAACTCAGGGCCTTACTCGTCCTAAGCATTTATTTTACGCCTGAGCTCCACCTCATTCCCTCCATATGCTTTTAAATCTGGAGTCGAGTTCTACCAGTGCCTTCTCCGCTTATATGACAAGGCTGTTGTGAACTGGATTTGCACATGACAAGCTGCTGTACAAAATGTGGTAAGTTATTGGCATGCCCTTAAACAGTCTCCTAGATAGCTGCCTTTGCTGGGTGCTGACACATTGTTTCTTCCCTTTCCTGACTCTGAAAGCAACACTTAGTTCTGCTTCACCGATAACAGATTTGTTTTTATTATTAGGGATGATTCTGTCTTGAAGTTGGAACAGAAATGGCAATTGAACATGCTTTCATGGGAATTTCAAAGATACTGGGTTTTTTTTTTTTCTTGGAAGGAGGAGAAATAGGAGCCAATGGAACAGCAATTAAATTCATAGTTTCAAAACAAATGCTACTAAAGCACAGATGATATCATGTAATAGTTGGAATTTCTCTTGTTTTCTCAGGCTAGCAGAGCAGGAGTAGCCCTCTGACATCCCAGGCCAGCTGTCAGTGCCTGTCCCAGAAGCTGCAATTCCCAAGCATCTCTTTGACAAATTCCTCTTTCCAACTTAAACCTGCTGTCTTTATCCCCTACCAGAACCAAGGGAACCATAGTGCTGGGTTTGTGCCTGATTTTACTTATGCGTTCGTCAGGGTGTTCATCTGTAACCTGCCCAGTGCTGCTTCAGCCATCGAGGCTCACGCAGAGTCACAGGGGTCTTGCTGCAGGTGGCACTTTCCTGGAATGGAGACTCATTGATCATGCACTAGAAACCATAAACTGAGCGTCTGTGTCCCAGCAGATTAGCCACCTGGTCCTTCCAGTGCCAGGTGAGCTGATCACCTCTGGGACACAAAAGAAGCCTGTTGCTTGTCTAATCAGCTTCTTTTCTCACCTACTACTACAACCCCTGAATATTTTACTCACAAAGGAGGAAAATCAGGGGCATCAGGAGGTTCTAAATCTCTGCTAGCAGCTGCTGTAGAATTGCAATACCAAATCTTGTGACAGAACATTCATACTGAGCAAGAGATTTCTCAGTTTCAAAACCTATAACCCAGAAAACAGTTTGGAGCTCTTCAAAAAGCTAAACATAGAATTACTATGTGATCCCAGCAATTGTTCTTCTAGGTATATGCCAAAATGAATTCAAAACAGGTTCTTAAATCCCTAAACTCCAATGATCAAACACAGAATAGTAAAAAGACAAAAACAACTTAATGTCCAGTAACAGATGAACGGTTGTACAAATTGAGGTACACAATGCAATATCACTCAGTCATGAAAGGGATGAAGTATCGCCCGTGTTAAAAACTGGACAAATCTTGCAAACATTACACTAAATGAAAGGAATCAGACCCAAAAAGTCAAATATTGTGATCTACATGAGCTCTTCAGAAAAGACAAACCACAGAAACAGAAAGCATTATTGGTGATGATGAGACTGGAGAAATGAGGAGTGATATAACCATAGTTTAACTAGTGAGGAACTTTATTTTGAAATGATTACAGTGTTTCAGAACTAAATATAGGTAGTGGATAGACAACGTGCGTGCAGTGAACGTCACTGAATTATCATCTTTAAAATGTTTAATTTTATGTTATGCAATTCACATCAATTTTTTAAAAACTAGTAAAATCTGCAACCTCTTCTGAATGCATAAAAATAAAGATGGACTGATGAATGAACACATATTACTATGTGATAAAGCACAAAGTGTAAAATATTAATTGTAGAATCCAGGTGGTGGTGATTGGATATTATCATACTGTAAAAGTCAATGTTTCCATGTATTTGAGAATTGTTATAAGAAAATGTTAAGATGTTAGGGCGACAATAAAACCTTCTCATCTCAGCAGGCAGTTAGAAAGCAAACTCCCAAATCCTGCTGCCTAACATGGATCTTCTGGTTCTTCTCCCGGCCAGGACACATTGGGGAATTTGTCAAGACCAATTGCTGGTGTCTGTTCACTGCGTGCTTCTTCAACACCCTCTCTCCCCACTTCTCGGTCCTCACCTCACCCAGCTACAGAAAATGCTATCTTTTCATCGTAACACTGCCACTTGTACACATCTGCTACAGGCCAGACCTAGCGCCTTCTGACTTAGATTCATTGCCTCCAATTCTGATAACACTCAGAGCAGATTACAGATGAACAACCTGATGTAAGCGCAGGTAAAACCAGACACAAAGTATTACGTACATTTCATGTAAGAATATTGTATATAAATAGAAACAAATAAATCTAAACTATAAAGGGAAGGGTAATGTTCCATTCAGGTAATCAGATGAGCTCCTGGTGTGCTCTTCTGGGAGGGGCAGGACTATTTTGCTGCCATAGATGGGGTAATTTTGTGAAAATCCATTGAAATGCACTGTGAACATCTTTTTGTAGTATACTATGTCAATAAATTTTTTTAATCACTAAAGAAATGAAATAGACAGTTCAATAAAATTTATCGGTAAAACCAAAAGCCAGTTTGTTAAAAAGGCTAATTAAAAAAATAAAAAGAAAGATGCAGACAAAAACAATTGAGAAGGATTAGGAATCAATCAGAGGAAATGTAACTATGTATACAGAAAGAGTTAAAATTTTATACTTGAAAATGGCCCTGAAAATCTTTGTGAACTGGATACTTGTCTAAGGAAATGACTAAAATAAAAATGGTAAGGGAGCAGCATCCAACCAGAGATACTGCTGCTGTCTGGAGTCTGAGCAACAGTGGAATCCACCTATCCCCTCCTGTCACTAGCAGTGGGAAGGCAGCACAGCTGACAGTCACACAGACCAAACAGGAAAGGGACAGCGTGCCTGTACAGGGCCGCTCCTCGTTCTGGAGAAACTGTGAGACCCTGCCGTAGAAAGAAGGTGCGGAGAGCCACTGGTCAGTGTAAATTCATTTCTCATGAAAGCAGAGTGTGGGGATAAGGGCTTGCCTTGCGTTCTTCCCCAAGGCTGGGTGAAGACAAGCTAAGACCAGCATGCCTCAAGTGTATGGAACAGGGGTGCAGTTACACTGAGGAATGGGAATCTCATTTTGTTGTAATAAGTATCCTATTTAAAATAGGAAGCCACTTTTTAATGACTTTACAGGTGATTGGAATCGTTAACTTTTGCTTTAGGTGATTTTTAAAGAAAAGTTGGCTTATGTGACATGGATGGGAAGCAATACATTATAACAAATGTTAAGTTTGGACACTCCTCAAGCAGCAGAGCAGAATGTGGTTGAAGGAGATTTTCCTTTTAGCTAATGGCTCTCTGTAGCCTCTAACTTAATACGCAAGGTAAGAGAGACACTTTGAGCAGGAAAACAAGGACAGGAGAAATAGACTTTGAAGACAGAGTCAGAGGATCAGAGGGGACCTACGTTTAGTGAGTTGAGCAACTTGACCTTTCTTAGTTATGTTGAAAAAAGGCAGTATTTGGACTGATAGCACAAGTTAGCCTCCAAGTGGGTAAGAATTAGAGAAGAAAGTCCTTCCTTGGAGTGAAAGTGGGGGAGCTTTTGAGAAGTGTGGTGATATTAGGAAGGATATTACTTTGAATATAAATGAATCTAAGCTTAGAGGATCTTGGTAAGCCAAAGGGAAAGATCAAATTGAAAACGTTAAACGAACAGAAGAGAAAATGGAAATACTGTCATTAATGGAGCAAGTTATTAGATAAGGTGGGAAGATGTGGATTCAAGGGGCAGGTTTGGCTTTGGAGAGGAGATAGACTAACAAAATTAATAGGGTCTCCATGGTGGGCTGTGTAGTCGTTCCAAATAGCTATGATCCTTTCTCAACCCCGCATACCTGTGAATATGACCTTCTTTGGAAACTGTCTTTACATTCATCTATCATTTAGGACTTCAGGGGGAGATCATTCAAGCTTTAGGATCAACTGACCGAAGGTCCACTGTTTAGTGTCCCTCATAAGAGAAAGCAGAGGGGCATTCGAGTCACACAGACACAGAGGAGACACCGGGGAGAATCTGTACAGTGATGGAGGCAGCCCCAGGCTAGGACACACCCAGAACCAGCCTTGAGCAAGGGGCGGGAAGCAACCTCTGAAGTCTTCTCTTCAGTTCCTCAGATACCTTCCTGAGAAAAGATATTTCTGTATCTTACTCTCCCTAATTTGTGGTGATTTCTTCTGGCAGCCCTAGGAAATGAAGGTTAAGTTTTAAACTCCATCTCAGAAATGGAGCCTGTCAAGTGAGCGGACTCGAGATATACGGCCATACTTCAGAGATGCTGACTCAGTTCGGAGGCCAGTCCACTCGGCACAGGAAAATGTGACCCTGGAACTATGGTACCTCTGTTAAGCCAAGCCTCCTGGTCCCCTTTCAGCCTTTGCTTGCCTTCACCATCACTAGCATTTTCCACGTGTCTCCATGCCAGTCACTTTAGATGCAAAGGCTTAAATCCTCTAGTCTGTCTCAACCCTGTAGATTTATAAAAAATGTCAATTAAGGAGGGCATGAAGAAAAGACTCACAATGTGGTGTGTATGTATATAACATCATTCAAACAGCTGCTTAATTTCTCCTGAGCACCTTTGCAAATACTGATTTTCATGGTTGGTCTAACTTATTGCCAATTCCTGCCACTAAGTTTAACTTCCTCAACTTCTTATGACTTAATGTGCCACCAATTACAGCACAACAAGATGCTAAGAATCATTTATTTGAATCATTTTAGCTCCCTCACTGGAATTCAAAGATAGGGGAGATTATCTCTGTACATTCAATTTATTATGAAATTGCCACAGGTCACCATAGATCGCCTAGATTCCACAGGGAATTTTAGAAAGAAATATGTGCTAGAGGAAGACACTTGTTCACTTCATATTTTTAATACCTACTTTCTACCAGATATTTTGCTAAGTGTTAGAAATAGATGTATGAATGAGAGGAAGGGGTTTGATATTCAGAGATCTCAATGTGCAGCCGGGAAAGAAACATTTCATTGAACAATAGAAATACCACATGATGAGGATTATCTTGCAGTAAAAAGGTACTGCTGTGGAGCCCTGGGAAGGGAGATTTCTGGAGATGGGATAGTATCAGTGATGGATTGTCTCTGTTTGCTGCTCTGGATCCCCCTCTCCACCTTTGGCACCTGCTCTGTGCTCTGTGCTCACGGCGGAAACATTTACGAGTGATGTCCCTGGGCACTCAAGTCTTCCAGCTTCCACATGGCTTCAGTTCAATGGGAGACCAGGGTAGGGACGAGTGGGCAGAGGACAGAGTGCCCCTCCCTGTCACACTGCAGGTTGCCAGAGGCTGCACTGCTCTAGAAGGGCCACTACTTCTGAGGTCTCTCTCACTGGTCTGACCGTGTCTGAGCAATGGCTTCCTCCATTCTGCTACCGGCAGCAACCTGGGCTGCTTTGTCAACCCAGCCCAGGATTGGTTTCCCTGAATCCTGACCTTGCCTTTAAACAGTCTCATCATTCAGCTTTGTACACCAGCTCGCTGGAGTGTGAGGTCTGTGTCCTGCAGGTCCCCAGTGGATCCTGGGATCCAGGTTGCTTCAGAGGAGCAAGTAAGGTTTCACCAGGTCCGTGCAGGTGGGGTGAGGTTGCCAGGGGTGAGGTAAAAGCATGGTTGAGACTGGAGGTCACGGGAGCACACTGTATATTCGGAGACTAATAAGAAACTCTAATCTTCATAAAGGGAGATCTGCAGGGAGTGGTGAGGAGGAAAAATGGAGAGCTGAAAGGCCTTGGATGCCACTAAGGCTTTGGGGTTTTATCTTGTAAGTGGTGAGAAATTTCAGAAATGTCAGTGCCTTAAATCATTAAATCCCCAGGTCTTTTTAGGAAAAAATGTGTTTCAGAAATGAGAAGCTAGTATAGATCTCTGGTTTGCATTTATGTCTTACCGGTTTTACACTCTTTCCTGCTTGGTGCTTAATAAAATTCACTTGCAACAAGTGAGCTGAGTAAAAGTGCTGACTTTAAATAAAAATTAAAAATTAAATCACTTCAAAAGCTTTTCCTTCTCAGCCCCAATGTATTGGGCCTTCTCTTTACGTACTATGCAAAAAGAGACTATTCATCTTGTGAAATGTTACAGTTTCATTCAATTACAGAAAACTTTGCTAACTATGAGTCTTTCATAGGTTCCTATAAAGGGCGAGCTTGATCAGAGCTAAGATTCCCAGGTCAGGTCTTAGGGAAGGGGAAAAGAAAAGCCAAAGTGACATCCGATGAGGACAGGTGAAGTGTCATACGTGGAGCTGTGGAGAAGGAAGAGAAGTTCAGAACAACACTGTCCAGTAAAGATACAGCAGGAAGCACAAATTCAAGGCATATGTACAATTTTAAATATTGTAGTAGCCACATTGTAAACAGATAAAAAGGAGGTGGAAGCATCTCAGATGTCTATGAATGGATAAATTAACAAACAAAATGTGGTCTGTATATATGATGGAATAATATTGTACTTGCAAAAGGAAGGAAATCTAGATACATGCTACAATATGGATGCATCTTGATGACATGATGCTAGGTGAAATAAGCCAGTTACAAAGAAACCTAGATGAGTCCACTCATATATAACCAGGAAAGAACTGTGAATGGTATTTTCCAGGGGCTGGGGGTGGGGGAGAAGAGAAGTTGTTGTATAGTGAGAACAATTTCAGCTTTGCAAGATGAAGCTCTGGAGATTGTTGGCCCAGCAATGTAAATGTACTTAACACTACTGAACTGGATGCTTAAAAATAGTTAAGATGATATATTCTATGTTATATTTTACCCGTTTTTAAAAAAATTAAAAAGAAACAGGTGAGGGGCGGGGATTTAGCTCAGCAGCACAGCACCTGCCCTAGCGATTGTGAGGTCCTGAGTTCCATCCCTGGTACCAAAAAGAAAAAGGAAAAGAAAAAGAAACAGGTGAGATTTATTTTAATAATATATTTTATTTAACTTGCTATATAGAAAACATTGTTTCAGCATGTAATCAACACAAACCTACTCAGATATTCGTTCCGTCTTACTGAGGTTTGAGGTCTGGTGCACACTTCACACTTAGCCAACACCTCAGTTTGGGCTGGCCACAATTCAAGTGCTCAAACTCCAATGAGTTTGCTGGTTTCCGTATTGGAAAGCACAGTCCAGAGCACTGGGCAAAGGCAAACGCTCAACTGTGACTCCTTTTCCTTACAAGTACACCAGTGACTTGCCTTATGCTGTCTTTTTCCTTTCCTCTGAGGGAGTAACAGGAATGGGCTGAGACCGAAGATGTTTGTGCACCACCAAGGGAGGGTAATCTAAAAATTACTCACGAATCCCCAAGCAAAAGAGATCAGAAGAGCCACTGAGCTGAGCTAGATGGTCCCAGGCAAATCCTTTGTTGTTACTATTGCAGGTCTTGGTACAATGCGAACCTGTTGGTACATCAGTGAGGTACAGTCAGATACAACAGACATCTATACACTCTCTAGCTCTGTCACCTGGGACAAGCTGCTGCGGAACATGGCAGAGCCTGAGTTACTTCTCTAGTGAAACAAAGACAAGGACAATGGCTGTCTCATTAAGCCCTCGAGGGTGAGAGCAACGTTCTCACTCAGAGATTCTGGACAAAGTGTCTGCCACATAGTGAAGACTGTTGTTAGCCACTGTTGGGATAAATATCACCATCATTGTTATCCCTGCTATTTGGAGTATGCTTCAGCTGCACACTAGTGTCTCATCATCCTTTCAGACTTTGATTCTCCCAGCACATATTAAATGTGTCTGTGGTCAAACACAGACTCTAGCGCAAGCTAGATTGCTTGGACTTAAATGGTGTTCCTATCTTTCTCAGTGCCTCCTTCTTATTTCCTGACCCTAAAACAAGACCCTCATCTCTTCTCTGGCATAACTGACTCATTTCTCAATTTAAGAAT